TTTTTTTTCAGGGGAGAATTTATCATTTGAAGTGGAAATCAGTTGCTAAGTGCTTGCCTACATGTATAAGCATCAAGCCCCTTCACTCATGTTGAACATCTGTTTCTGACCCCATTATATTCTTTTGTTGTCAGAGAAAGTCCCGAAATTTGATAAAAAATATATATTAACGTCAATGCATGTGGGAGTCAATCAAGGATTATTCTCTAGAAAACACCTTGGTCAAAATGTAACTTAAAATTCAAGGCTGATTTTATTGCCAGTAGAAAGGCTGATCTTGCACATTGTTTGGTAGTGACAAATATTTTGACACACTTTATGTTTTCTGGGTTACATATTAAAGGTCAGTAAACAACTCGCTGAAAATGGAGTTGTCTCCTTTTGATATCTATAGAATCAACAATAAATCCAATTTGTAAGTTCTAGAATTCAAAATATAAACACAGCCAAATGAATTTTCTCTGACGTAGACAGTTGAAGTTTCTGTACCACACATAAATTTTTTAAAGGTTGTAATGACCTATAGAGAAACTACTTGAGAAAATTTCGTCAAGTAAGCCATGGATACTCTTGTCTACCTCGAGTTTATCAGATTTAATTGAACTCGCTTTTCACAGCTAAATCTCGAAACTTATACACTCAATCGAATTTTCACTCGTCTATATCAAACTTATCATTGGCAAAGCTTTCACAGCTCCGTTTTAACTTTCTGATTCACAGAAAAACTTCTGACAAATCCTAAGCTTTCTCATTAGCTTAGATATCGTGTCAGAAATTCTAGTATAACAGGTAGTCTTCCTGTAAAAGCTGAAAAGCAGTTTGAACAATTCTCATCTCTGCAGATACAATATTAGTTTAACTTAATGCTTACCTGAGTCTACGTGCTCCACAAAGCATTTTGCTGTTGATACCGTCCTTGCGTGCAGTTCGAACAGTGCCGTGAAGGAAAATCACTCGCACAACCGACCTGATCTGTAAAAAGCTCGTTTTGAACTGCGTTGTGCTGGACACCACTTTGTAAACACCACGATCCAATCACGTGTAACTCAAAACCGGTTTTGAATAAATCCTCTTTTTCCACGAAACGAACACGTGTACCCACTCAGCGGCGCGGAGAAATTCATCCTGCGACACAGTATAGTAAATATTTGTATAGCTTCTTTGTTCCAAGGTAGCCACTGTTAAACTTTGTTAGCATAAGGAAACGACGCCATTTGTTGCTTCCAGCAGAATAATCTCGTTATCTGTCGTGATAATGCAACACGCTGAGGGAATTGTCGAAAAAAACTCGCGCGCACGCCGCGACCAAAGCTTCTTTTCTCCCTCCCCTCCACAGTCAGTCAACTGACCCTTACAAAGAATACTAACACAGAAATTGAGAGGGTCACAGCTTTTTCGAGCTATGCCAAATTTTCACGAGAGTTTGCAAAATTGTATTTCCTTTTTCAATTTCTATTTTGAAACAAACGGGTCAAGATAATTTCTCATTATTTTCCATCAACGCGAGCTGTATCGTTGAAACTCGTCACTACATTTTAATATTCATTCTCAGTTGTACAAAATAAGCAAAAGTTTGAAATGAATTGAATCGCATTTGAATGTTTAACCGATGGAATTTTAAACAGCAACCGATAGTGAGTTTTAACTTTTCATGCATTGAATATATCAAGGTAACTACAAAACAAAAATAGTTTGTGGTCCCAGACTGTTTGGGTTATTTCTGATACCAGCGGCCTTCGTTATTGTAAAATACTTCATATTTTGACTTTGCGAATTTTAAAAATTCTGTTTCTAAAAAGCGACAATTTAACGAGCTAGCGTCAGCAAGACAACGAAAACAAATGAAATATTTACAGTTTTGCAGGGCCAGGGGACGCGGTCAAGTCAGTGTCAACAGGGTGGACACGAATAACAGGTTAAAAAGTGTGAATTTTATATATTATTTATAACTAAATATGTTCTTTCCCCGTCATGGAAACTATCATAGGGAAAACTAGTCAGGAAAACATTCTGATCTCGTCGCAAAAAAAAAATCGGATGCTCTAGCGCTGCCGGTCTGGGGACGAGTCTCGTCACGCAACATTCGATGAGCGTTGCGTCGTGACTGAGGTGAGGCCCCAACTGACCAGCACTGCCCTTTCTTCCTAAACAACATTTACATTTATAATCACTAGAACATTCCCACGATAAATGTGACCAAAACTTTTTACAGACGTAAAGGAAATCTTTCTCCATAGACGCTTTTATTTTTTGCGTCAAATTTTAATATTTAACAGCTAACAAATTCTGAAGAACTTGAACAGAGTTAGGCCCAGTTCAGACGTCGTGCTTCTGCCGTGCCGAACTAAATACAGGAATTAAGTTCGACAAAAGCACGGCAGAAGCACGGTGTCTGAATCAAACTTTTGAATTAAGTTCGGCAAGCAATTTAGTTCGACAAGCTCTGCCGTGCTACACGACTCTGGCACGGCAGCGATTCAAACGTCGTGCTTCTGTCGCGCCAAACTATGTCAATGTGTTTTGGCGAGATTTCGTTCCCTCGGGGAGTTAGGAGGAGAATTGTTACGAGACCTCAGTAAACCCTGGATTTGATTCGACTCTGGCACGACGTCTGAATCAGAGTTGATTTCCTGCCGTGCTACAGTTGAACCAAATTGCAATTTAGTTCGGGCACGGCAGAAGCACGACGTCTGAACTGGGCCTTAGCGCTGTGAGAGTACAAACGTACAAATTTGGATGACAATCAGGGATTAGATTTAAATTATCGCCGCAGTTTTTTTTTCTTTTTTTGTCCCTGAGAAAAACATTTTTTTTCCGATTTCAAGTTTTTTCGACAAAAGATTGATGTTGTTAAGTGGCCCTCCGTCTCCATCAAACCGCCTCTTCCTGCAGGCGTTCATTTAGTTGGGGCGCAGTGAGAAAAAAAACGGAGGAGCAAAATAAAGGAGAGAGAGGCCATGCATGAGGAGCGAACAACCCAACTAACTGAACACATGGAAGAGGCTAAAATATAAAACTCAACAATCAACAGTTAGCAAGTAACATTATACTACTGGATGTCAGGAGCCCATTACTAGGAGCGTGCAACTACCCCATATAACTGTCACGGCGTTATCACAGACCTATCTACTTTTAGTTTGAATTTACCGCGGACAGGAACCTCGGTGGGCAACAACAAGCCGGGACTTAATGTTTAACTGACGTCATCATTTCACCGGAAGATTAAAAAGAAAAAACAACCTGAGGTCGCCAGTTTTTTTCCTACCGATGAGCGCTCATGTAAACCGGAACTGACCTATTTCGCGGGAAAAGAATCCCAAAAATAGACCGCAGTAAAAATGCCATGACATAGTATGGCTTAGTATGGGAGTTGCACTCTTCCAGTGATGGGCTCTTGTGGATGCCGAATTATCGAGAACTTCAAAGTACGATGTCGACAACTGTAAAGTTGGACGTCAAAGGGAGGCTATCATGGCGATTTTGCGACATTTTTGGTCAAACTAACGCTAAATTATGACTAAATATCTTCCCTCATACAGGAAAGGCTTTAAGAACACCAAGCTGAAGACATAGTTTAATGTATGAATTGTTAAAGGAAAGCAAAATATAATTATGTTGCAGCACTTCTGTAGCACATAATCAGAATTTCACAGAATTTGAAAAAGTCTGTTAAACTTTTTCATTTTGGCATCACATCTTTGTACAAGGAAGTCTCAGTGTATCACTCTTCGATAGTTCCAACGGTGCAATAATGTAATATAAGTTTGAACATATTAAACTGGACTATTACGTTATCATTTATATTTCCATCCTTAAAATATGCAGCGGACTTATATAATGTTTTAAACACAACTAGACTATTATATGTGTCATAATATATGTTTCAAACCATAAAATGTGTCTTCAAAGTTGTTTACGCATCACACCTAAAACTTCTCAAACGCTAAGCCCGAACATGTTTGAAACGCAGAATTCCTTCCGTAAGAAATCCCATTGATAAAATAATAAGAAGCCCTCCCTCCCTCCCCACCCACAATCCCAAAAAAAAGTCCACCAAGGAAACTTCAGAGTGAGGTGATTAATTAACAAAGGTCACTTTATTTAGTCAAGGTAAAAGTACCTCATAATAAATATAAAATAATGTTATTGTCTAACACTTTTTTAAGGAGGTAGTGAAAAAGGAAATAGATATCTGAAAATATTGAGATCGAGATACAATTGACTACAGCGAAACCTCTTATTAAGCGGGCACCCTCGGGACCTTCCCAAGTGTCTACCTAATAGAGGGTGTCCGCTTAATAAAGGTTTATAACAATTGCGCAGCGTTTGTTAACAATTAACAAGGGTATATTTAATCGACTATTTCAAGGACGTAATCCAATGCCACACTGTCAATTCAGTCCGGTGTCCGCTTAATAGACGTTTTTAACGATAGTAATCGTATCTATTACAAAATCCTCGATCGTGATTGGTTCTCCGCGCGCGCATTTGTCACGTAATCAGCACGCGATCACGTGGGTGTCCAATTACAGGTATCCAATTTGAACTTTTTGTAATTGGATACCCATGTGATTCGCACGTCAATTACGCGCGCTTTAATGGCTTCCTTCGCGATGTTTCCTACAGTTGTCAAAACTTATGAAAAGCGAAACAGACGTTTTCGCTCAAATGTTCAACTCAACAATCAAGAGTTCGCAAGTAACATTAACAGTCCTGGGTGCCAGGAGCTCATCGCTAGCAGCGTGCAACTACCCCATGGCGTTTTCACAGACCTATCTACTTTTAGTTTGAATTTACCGCGAGCAGGAACCTCAGTGAGCAATAACAAGCACGGACTTAATTTTTAACTTTTCAGGTGTCCGCTTAATTGGGCGTCCGCTTAATGGAGGTTGCACTGTAACTAAAAAAAATGAGCTTTACCGTCAGAAAGTATTTTCCAGCGCGCCCACCATTTTTATGAAGGGAGAGTTCGTTTCGGCTGGAAATCGAATGGAGCAGCTCTTGTAAGCGGAATATTTATGTTCTGTTAAATATATAATACGATTAGCTATCAGTGTTCTTCATAAAGGAAGGACTATACAATGTATGTCAGAAAATCCTGTGTCTGCAAACGTTGAATCGACATGACATTACAGAAGCTAACGTCGACGGTAAAACAGAATTTTGATTTTTTTTTTTCTTTTTCGGTGTTGTTTGGCTTTATGCAGCAATAATCAGTACCAAATCTTCCGTTTCATATTCCTGTCGACTGTTCCACTAGAATTTGTTGTCAAATTGTCACTGAACTTAACTCGATACAAATTCAACGCTCTCCTTTTAACAGGAGAACTCAGCCTAAAGACCATACTGTCCCTTTGGAAAACAATGCTCACATGCAGTCATTTTCTTCAGTGAAAAGACTCATTTAAACATCAATCTCGTTAATCACGACCAAATTGAGTCTAACGTAGTAGCCCCGTTGCGGATAAACAAGTCTTCCGTGTGCTCTAATGTTTTGACTGTAGACATGAAAGATTTACTGACAGATACTCCTTCCTTTATCAAGTAAACATAAATTTCTAATAGCTTTTATAATAGCTTTTACATCTATTTATTTTTAATAATTTTTACATCTTTTACTAAGATTACAATTAATTGGTTGCTAAAAAACCATTTTTATGCAGGGACTAATAACGATACTACTTACTACTACAAGCTTCGTTTGGAGTTATTTGACATCTTTTCCTTGTTCTTTGAAATTCCTTGCATTGATATTACTTCTAGCAATACATTCTCAATTCAATTTGATTTTCAATTTGCTATTGAATTTATCAGACATTCCTGGCTTTTTCTATTTCTTCGTTACTTAGACAGGGTAAAAATTTGATTAGTTCTCTGACCCCTTCCTCAACTGATATAGTAGCGTGATATCCAAGAGATCTGACCTTTTTATAGGAGACTTGATAATCTCTCTTATCTTTGTCTTCTCCATTACTAGATTCTGTAATATGGCACTCCGGCACGCACCGCTGGATAATACAGGCCACATCAGACTTAGACAAGTTCATATTCTCGTCACCCACGTTAAAAGCCTGTCCCGCCATCTTCTTGTAGTTTTCCACCGCGAAGACAAACGCTCTGGCGGCGTCTTTCACGTGCAAGAAAGTGCGACGAAACTCCCCCTGATACAGATCAAATTGGCGAAGCCTTAGAGCTTTGTCGGTGAGATCATTTACCAAGAGATCAAGCCTGAGCCGGGGGGACACACCGAACACCGTTGCCAAGCGAAGAGCTACTCCACCCGCGTCCAGCACGATTTTTTCACCCTCAGCTTTTGTTCGTCCGTACAATGTAAGCGGCGAGATGTGTGTTTCTTCATCACAGACGCCATTCTGAACAGCTCCATAGCACGAACCAGTGGATGCGTACACCAGCTGCTGACCAGGCAACATATTCTCCACAATATTCCTGGTACCCAGTACGTTTACCTACAAGGACATAAAGCACATTCATTATACAGTCGAACCTCGGGTTGAGACCACCTCTCGTAAGCGACCACCTCTTCGGCTCAACGACCAGTTTTCCAAAATACCAATAGTTTCCAAGTCAAACCACTATATTTGCGACAACTTTTAGAGCTAAAAGTTTGAAATTTCGCTAGGGACCTTTTAATTTTAAGGAAGAAATATAGCAGAACTATAATGTCTTGAAGTATAGTATTTTTCATCGAACAACTGACATGTGGAATCGACTACCTTCAGACATTGGTTGCTCTGATAATGTAAATATTTTTAAGTCTAAATTTCTTAGTGATTGTTGAGTATTTTTTCCATATCTTAATGTATTCTTCGAATTTATCATGTTTTTTGTGTACTTAAATTAGTTCGTAGGTGATCTGTTTATATATGGGGTTTAGGACTCCTTTACAGATTATCCTTTGGCCTTTAAACCATGGATTGTAATAAATAAATAAATAAATAAATAAATAATAAATAAATAAATGAATGAATAAATTTTCTTTTGTTTTTAACTTCCGGTAAACGACCATTTGACAGATAATAGAGCGTAAATGGGATAATATGTTGTTGCAACATTTTCGCATAACTGGTAGTACAAGAGACGGAAATTTCTCAAATGGAAGACAGTTTTATTCGCGAAATTAAGTTTAAAACATTTCAAACATGGGATAAGTCTCTGCAGTTACCATATTCTAATAAGGCAAAATTTTGACCCAATATGGTCTAAGCTCTCGTAAGTGACCACCTCCCGTAAGCGACCACCTAGGCATTTTGGTTCGACGGTAGTTAATTATATTCAGGCGGCTGTAAAATAGGCCTCACAGAAAAACTGTCATATTTCTCCCCATAAAATAATAAAATAGCTAGTCAGTGCAGAATTCGACGAAAATTCTTGTTCCTATTTTGCCCAAATAATTACACGTTCTTCTTCAGGTTACTTTTTCGTAACCACCCCGATAAAGAACAGTTGTTACGTGTTTCATCCCTAAGGTAGACGTTCCAAAATCGATCAAATAGCAGAATGTAACGGCTAAGGAAATTGAAAATCAGTGAAACTCTACTTAATAATCTTCTTAAGCTCATCAATAACTCATCATGTTTAAAAAACTCATACAATTTGGATATCTGATCGTCATTAGCATAGATTTCTACGATTATATTTCTCCGTTTTTTCCTTCGTTTTAGTTTCGATTGGGAAGATATATCAAGCACTCAAAACAGTGTTTGACCACATTTCCAAACACCTCGAAGTTCGTCGAAAACACTCAGCAGCCCGTGGTATTTTCAACTCTCTTCTCGGTGTTTTTGAAATGTGGTCTAACACGGTCTGTCGTATTTGATATTTTTCAATGACAACATTGCAATGTGTACAACATGAAATACCGCAAATTACTAATGAAAACTTGTTAAGATCAAGGGGCTCAAACGCGGAAAATACACGAATAAAATAGTTCGAAAACGCTACAGAGATTTTTTTTCTGTCCATCAACCCTTTTTGCCGCTAAAGGAAGGTCTGGATGATGGTGCTTGTAGTTATAACTTACATTTTCCGCATTATCTCGGCGATCAGTTAAAATTTCAGCCCACTGATTTCCCAGCTATCACTGAGCTAATTTTGCAGATCTCATATATCTCAGCAGTCATTTCAAACCTTATCATTTTTCAACTGGCAATAAACATTTTGAACAATTCTCAGCAATACGTTAAACACCGCCTAGACCCTCTTAAAAACTTTGTAACAAGGTCAAATAGTTACGCTAGGTGATTCCTCTAGCCCAATAGCAGATCATGGCCTCTTGTCTAGCCACAAGTGTTATCACAGGTGTTTTGTCAATATATTTGGGCTCATACCTCCACGGCCTTATCCTGAAACTTCTCACAGGCAGGGTAGCCAACAATGGCAGCAAGATGAATGATAGCATCGCAGTCTAACATGTGTTTAGCCAGGAGGTCCTTGTCTAGGATGTCTCCACGGACAATCTCCAGGCGTGGATTAGCAGCATGGGGTAGAAGGGGTATTGCTCCCCACTGGAACTTATCATAAACCACGACGTCGTGACCATTGTGGAGCAACAGGGGTACCAAAGTTGATCCAAGGTAGCCGGCACCACCCGTAACCAGCACTCGCTTTGGGAAAGCACAATTTCCATTGATTTCCATGTTATTATCGTACGCCCTTATCTAAAGTAAATAAATAAAAGCCTACAATTGAAATAGTGGCAACGGGAATCACGGGGCAATTACATAACAAAACAAAACTCATTAAAAGAGCTGGAGCGATTTCCCGGCGTATGCCTCTGAAATGACAAAACAACAAACGAACTAGACTGAAACAAATTGATTGGTTGATATTAGGCGAACTTTGCTTCGTTTAGCCAGAAAACGCGCGAAGCAAAGCCTACGGATTGAGAGTATGCACCAGTACAGTCACTCACTTTTAAACATTCTGATTGTTCAATCGAGTGAAAAAGCCTCTCTCACTCTCTGTCTCCCTCTCTCTCTCTCGACTCTGTCAGTTACTGGCAGACGAAATAAATCGAACACTTCTTCAAAGAAGTACGAAAATCGCTCTAACCGAGTCCTAAGCGGTGATCAGGTTTTCTTTTTCTCCTCGCGGCTACGTCTTAATCGCAAGTTGCCTAAGAACACGTGAGCTACCATGTTTTACTTCCTCAAACGTTCTTATTTCAATTTAATTTGCATACCTATCATATAAACAAGTAATTTGGACGATCCAATTACGCAACAACTACTTTGAAAAAACAAAATTGACTACTGCTGATGCCAAATACCCAACTGAAATAAGTCAAAACCACCCAAAAAAGAACTCTCAGGCTGCCAAATTGGGAAGTTAGGTCTAACAATGGCTTTTCTAAGAATTTTTCACTCACTTATTTACATATTAGACGTGGCGTTGTCATATTTACACGACAACCGTAACGGTTGCATGGCATGCTAAAGTAACACAACAACTCTAAGTCTCGTTAACAAAGGTTAAAATCGCAGAAATTACTTTAACTCATTCCGAAACGTTTAAACAGAAATCAGTTTTCTTTAAGCAAGATTTTCTGTTCTATTTAGATAAATGAACACGTCGAAAATACCCATCCAACAGAATGTTATGCTTGGCTGAATCAGCCCTTTGTTACAGTACAGTATTCGTATCCAGGACAAATATTTCTTTCCTTATTTACTTTACAGACTTCACAGTGTGCAAAATGAAATTAAAAAACAAAGAAAATGTTTCGAAAGTTTGACAAAATATTTAAGACACAGTCGAGAGGCGAAAAGAACGATGCTTAATAATGACATAGTTACGATTACAAACCGAAAGTTGTGCTATGAGAGATGATATTGGGTCAATGTGTTCGAACCAAGCCCTGGAAATTCCTTACCCGTCCGTTTTCAGAGGTTCTCAAAGGCCAGTCGAGTTTTCTTGCAGCTCTCCGCTAAGAAATGTTATACAGAGCTTCTTAACAGGCGCAGTTCCCTGTTTGAATAACCGCTGTATTTGAATAATATATGATGCTTCATATATGTTTTTATTCCGTGACATCAGCTGGGCAGCTGTGCCGCTTGACACTCGAGCAGCCGAGTACTACATACGGCCTATTGTTCTTATCCTGGCGAATGTCGGCAGCGAAACAAATGTTTATAATAACTGATGTAAAGGTTGGTGTCAGTTTGTTAAAATTCATACTCCCTGGTGTAAGGTAGGCGAGGCAATTTTCCCTTTCGTAAACGGTCGATGCCATTTATAATGATCGATGCCATATACCCAGCGAAGTCAAGCGAA